GGCTGGAACGGGGGCGGCGGGAGCTGGGGCGGCGGCGGCGGCGGCGGCGGAGGTAACGGCGGAGGCGGCGGCAACTGGGGGAGCGACAGGTGGCGGCGCTGAGGAGGCCTTTGCTGCTGGGTCTCTTGGGGCATCCACAGTTGGGCGGGTCGCGCGCCCCCCGGTCAGCAGGGCCTGTGTTTTCTGCTTGCTGTAACAGCTACGCAGGATTCCCTGGTCTCGCATGCCAGCCTGGGTTGCACAGCAGCGACAGTTACACTGTGGTGGTTTGGGCATTTTCATAAGGCGGCGAGCACCACGTGGCCTTCGAAGAGGGGTTGACAGGTGTCACGGCGCGGTCCCACTGCCTAGCCCTAGCAATCGGTTTGGCCACCCATTGCCACAATCAGTGCACCCCTAGCCAGTAATAGCAGGCAAAGGAGCAGGAGCACGCGCAAGTGCGCCCTCATTACGGCAGCCGACGGGCCAGTGCACAGTGTGTGTCGCGAGCAGCAATGGCGCTCGGTCTCGCGGCCGGCCAAGCCCGCTGCGCGCACACAATACCCCGATGCTGACACAAGATATGTCAATCTGATGCACACACACCAGCACAAGCCACGAGCGCAGCAGCGGGCCCTGCGGCTGTGCGTGGGTGGAGGCGCCGCGTGTCACGCGACTCAGACGCCCATTCTGATCGGGCCCAGGATCTCGGTCCCCTGTGTTTGGCGCTTGGCCCCAATCTGGGTCAAACACACTCGAGCGAGAGAGCGACTCGACCTCACAGTCTCGGTGTAAGATTCACATGCAAGACAAACATAAGGACTGAAAACGGCTAGGATTGGAAACGCTTCTCTAGGACACCCGATTTGCCAATTGCTGACCAGAATTGTCGGCTGCCTGGCCCGCCCCTGCACTCTCTGCTAGGGCCCTCAGCCACTCGCGATCGGTTGCGCCCAAGCAAATAGTGTTGCGGGCCAGCAGGTTTGGGGCATACGTAATCGTGGATGCACCATCGGTCAGACGACGAGCTGCAAGGGGTGAAAGTTTTCAGCAGGGCGGCTCAAGCGCACGCCTGCCTGTGGGCTGGGGGTGCCAAAGAGGGGGTTGCGGAATGGGCCTGGTGCAGGGTGACGGGGCTCCCAAAAGAGCGCACTGGCGATCCTGTTCCCCGCCCTGGAGCCTGAGGGCAGCTGCGCCCCAGCTTCTCGACGAGGGTCCTCTAGCAAGACTGCCGAGCAGGCGCGAAATGCGGCGCCGCGCGGCGGTGCCCGGTGCACGCTAGCAGCGCCCAGCATCAGAGTCGTGGGCTGCCGGCCGAGCGCAGTCGCTTGCAATGACGCAGCGCTAACGGGCAAAGCTGGTTCTGCGCAGGGGCCCATAAACATGCAGAGCCGTGCACTCAGAAAAAGTGAGGCAGGGCGCGCCTTCGCAGCGACCACGCGACGGCCGCCCCAGTGCACGGGCGCCGGCGTCCCGTCCCCGTGACGTCACGCTGACGTCATCACCAGTTGTCAAAGTACTCGTGGGGCGACGGCACCGACCCCACCCTGAGCTGCTGCCGCAGCTGCCCCTTTGGTGAGACCGGGGCCGAGCGCTGGCCCGACTTGATCGGGAAAATCCCCTCCAACTTGGGGGAGGGGCACACCCCCAGCGTCTTGCTGGCGCCGTTGGACGTGACAACCGCCGGGATGTCGATCGCGCGCGCGCCGGCCGCGCCGCCGTCTTCCCGGAAGCCGCTCGCGGCCGCGCCAAAGCCGCCAAAGGGCCGCGCGCCGCCGCAGCCTGCGGCAGCGCCCCCGGCGGCGAGCATGGACGCCCGCGCGCTCGCGGCCGCCGCGGCGGCCGCGGCGCTGGCGGCGAGGTCCTGCGAGAGCACGTTGCAGCTGCCGTGCGACGACATGCGGGTCAGGCTGCCGTCGAGCAGCTTCTTGGCAGCTGCCTCCTTGAGCAAATCGTGGCGCATGGCCAGCCGCTCGCGGCGGCGGCGCAGGGCGGTCTGCGGGGCGGGAGGCGGATCCGTCGGCTCAGCTTACATCATTGAATTGTCATGTATAATCTGGCAGGAATATGCAATTGCAGATGTCAGTCGGGAGGGCTCAACCCCCAAACAAACCGTCAATAGCCTCACGGCTGTTCTGAAAGATAGCACAAGCCCCCGGCAGATGCGGGTGGTTGAAAAGGGAGAGCAGAACACAACCCCAGACGAAGAGGAGATGAGGCCCGGCCCACGCACCCTGTACCGCAGCTGCTGGTTCGGCGTCTGAGGGTCGAGCGCAAAGGGGATGCTGCTGGGGGCGCCGCCCTCGTCCACCACCACGACGGTGACGCAGGCGTCGGCGCAGTGGAACACGGCGCCCTCGCTGGGGGTCTCGCCAAAGACGGTGACGGCCACCTCCAGGGAGGAGTTGAATATGGCGG